CTTACTACTACTACTACTACTACTACTACTACTACTACTACTACTACTACTACTACTACTACTACTACTACTACTACTACTACTACTACTGCTGTGTATTTGGAGGACTGATAATTATGTCGAAAAGTGCTCTGTTTGTGGATTATTTTTTAAAGAATATCATTCTCGTAAGAGTTTTACTTTTACGGCATTTGCAACAAAATAAGGTCATATAAACGCAAAAGAGTGGCGTTTGAAGGTCAGACGCGAAGCCATAAAAAGATCTACCAGTAAGCTAACCGTAATAAATGTTCAGGGCTGATGAGCACACAGCTTTAGGAAAGGGGTAGGCGATGCTTCTATCTGCACTGAGTTGAGGAGTGTGTACAGCGATCAAGATCTATAACGTCTCTTCCTCCTTGGATGGTACAGATCATCATCGATAGTTCATGGTGGTCGAACTTAACCCTATCCGTACGCCCTGGGGTCATTTTGTACCCAGGGGTTGTATTCTTCACATTTTAGAATACTTCTAGTTCGAAGATCTCTCTGAAACCTTCAGTAATTCTTTAAAAAATCATATTGACAGACTGCTATGAAAAGCGAACGAATCGGATTAACGAGTTAATTTCCTCTTCGGAAAGTGGTGGCACAGAGTTCCCCACGTCGTATGGATACGAAAGTAAATCACGATGTACGGATAGGGTTAGGTTTGCATAATCAAAAAGAATTCTCTTGAAAACTGAATCCACAACATCCAAGAACTGAATGTGCTTCGAGAGAAAGGTTTGAAAAAGGAAGCCTCCTGCTGAAAGTTCTAAATTGTGTCAATGAAGGTGTACAAAAAAAATACGTTCTATCAAGTAATCATTCCAGCACAGCAGTGGATGCATCGGTGGCCAAAGCAAACCTCTTTTTTCCATTTGCAATTGCATTGTTTTATTTATTTGACTGTTACAACCTTACAACCTGCTCGAAGTGGCTCTGTGTGTGCATGTGTGTGTGTGTGTGTGTGTGTGTGTGT